GAAATGAATTTGGAGGGTTGATTGTCGGGGTGTGATGGTAACAAATGAAAAGTGTAGAAATTATGGGTGTATAACTGTAAAATATGAATACTGAAGTAAACAAAAAAATTACTATTTTTCATATGTGTAAGTTTGACAAAAGTTAATTTCTCATACCTTCTTGGTTAGAAGATATCTTAACTAGCAAACCACATGCCTCACCACGCGGCTAACCCCACAAAACTCCACTATGAGCTATTATTTACACAGTCGCCACACTTTGAAAGACAAACATGAAACTGCACATGTAGGAAACATTGACAACGGATGTTAAACATAAGAGAGAAAAATAGGTATATTTATTATTATTATTATTATTTTGTTTGTTATTTATTATTATTATCTAAAGCAAAAAATAAAAAAATAAAAAAATAAAAAAATTACTTTTCTGGAAGTGACGGCTGCAATCACTGCTTGGAACTTCACTAGATCACCATCACCGACACAATTTGAGACAAGCTGCAAGTGAGTAAAGAAACTCAGTAATCTATGTTTTTTCTCATCTTTAATCTTTCAATATCCTTTTTCTTTTTCATACGAAAGCAAATTGAAATAATTAGAGTGGAAATGCAGAAACACCAGATCTAATGTGGAAAAAATCAGAAGAAAATTAATAGTAGTAAAAATAAGAGTAAAACGACTTTTTCCACCCAGTTTGCCTAATGACAATTTTCCACAAAAAAAAGTTTCAAATATCATTTTTTACTTAAAGTTAATATTGCGTCACCATTTGATATTTAGTCTCCTCTCTACAAAAACCCTTCATTCTAACACTTGATTTCTCATCGGTCACCACAAAGTTAGATTTTCTGTTCTTAGTTGATTTTGATTGATTCGATGATGAATTTTCAATCGGTCACCATCATTCGATCCATCAATCTCTGCTCTATAAAACCCCTCTCATCCTGATTTTTAGTAACTCGTTAAACGTTGACTAAGAAAATGAGTATGTTTTTGATACTAACAGAATATAACTTTGATGAAAAAATAGTATTTTGAAATTTTTGTATGAAAAAAAGTCATCAATTCTAGAAATGAAAATGAAATCATACCTAAACGAGAGTTTATAACTTTGAAATGCACCGAACTCTGTAACTTCAAATCTTGATGACCTAAGAGCAAGAGATGAGGGAAAATAAATTGCGATGAGAAGTAGAATTGACTTTCTTCCCAGCTACGAGGTGTCTATTTTCCAGATTATTTTACATTAAAAGAACTTTTGGACCCATCTGTTCAAGTCGGAGACAGTGACAAACCCACTTAAGAGACAAGGAAATAAAAAATTAAAAATTGAGAGAAAGAAGGAAAAAGTTTTCTGGGGATAGTGTAGTGTTGGGTCAGGGTCCCACGGATAGGGTAAAGGATGAGAGAGAAAGTGCAAGAAACGACTAGGAAAGAAAGAATAAGTTGAGAGAAAGATGAAGAAATATTTTGAACTAGTTAAAATGCTTAATGAAATTATTTTTACATCACGTTTGTTAGAATAATGGATGATTCACTAATAATTTCATTTGATTGATATCTAGTATCTACTAGAATATTGGATGATCCACTAAATAATTTCACTTGATTTATTCTAGTATTACTATAGAGATACATACATTATATAGGTGAAAAATGATTCACTAAATCTTCTAATTATGTGAGCTGCAAATTATAAAATACATTGACACAATTTGGAAATTATACAATATAAATATATATTGAGATTGACTAAAATAATAGATTAAAAAATATTTATGGTAATATTTAATTAATTTCAATTAATAATAAAGTAATAAATAATAAAGAAACAAAAATAGTAATTTAATATAAATATTACATGTCAATATATACCTATTTAATCCAAATAAATAATATTAAATTATAATATTTGTGAACCGATAATAATGTTGAACCAACAATCCAACTAGTTTGATTGAAAATTGGGTTACTATTTATTATGGTTTTTTTCATTTTTCTTCCTCGTTTGCTTTGTCTTTTGATATTGCTATCGATTCGTTCGACTATGATTGCAGTGTTTCTTTTGAGGCTTCTTCACTGCAAAAACAACATCTTATAACTAATCTTTCTTTTAATCTTTTCTTTCGTTTTTCTCTACAGTTTCAATTCTTTAATTGTAAGGCCCGCGGTTGCACGGGTATGTTATTGCTTGTATTTCAAGTATTGTTGTTTGTATATGAAAGTGGCTTTGAAACCATGTTTGTTTGAAGAATTGGATGTTTAATTAGTTGATCTCTACTATAGAGTTACATGCATTATAAGGTAGAAAACGGTCATTGAATCTCCTAATATGTCAGTTACAGTTACACATATATGACATAATTAAGAAATTATACAATAATAAAGAGTATCCTAAGACTAACAAAATAGAAGATAGAAAATACTTGTGAAAGTATTTATGTGATTGTGAACGATTTGTACAGAAGTTAATTTAATGTTGATCGATAATTAAAGAATAAACCAAGTAACACTACACTCACTAACACTTCTCACTAACGCCACGTGTCAGTTTACAATTCATCAGTTCACATGGATCCCGCCTGTCCAATAAGGATCCCACCTAATCAAGCCAATCTCAACTCCCACGTGGGATTAGTGAGAGGGGTTAATGAGGTTAGTATTATTGTTAAATAAGATACGAAGACTTAACTTTCATTTTGAATCGCATAGAAAAGACTATTTATCTTAGAGAGGTCTAAATACACATATATAAAAGAAAAAGTCTAGAGATAAAGTGCCATGAAACTCAAACGCAATACAATTAAGAAGAACCATAAAACCATAATAACAAGAGTCCAAAGAAAAAAAAATGTGGTTGGAGGAGAATCCATAATATCTGCTGCACTGTTCAAATTCAATGAACGTGTGCTAGATATAAGAGTCAAGAGATCTTCAGGTTCACCTTCATTGTATAATTAACAGCACAGGCCAATTAGAGAAAGCAGTGTAAAACATATCTAAATGTTCAAATTGATGTAAACACCTTTCATCTTCTGATTAGTTCTGAAAACAGAAAAGAAATTTAAACACAGAATCATTATCTGAATATGAGAATTTGAGTAAGATATTGATAGATACCAAGCTCAAACCCAACAACCAATCATTCACAGTATCTATCTACCCAAGCAAATTCAATCCAACACACACCAATAATTCTCACAGAGTCGGAAAAGAGATGAATAATATACGATGTATTAGTATTGATTCAAGCAAGTAATCCAATCAACACAACTTTGATTCTAACGGAAATTAGAAAGTAAACAGTGAAGGAAAAATGAAAATAAGAGAGGAAACATAGCTTGCTGGACTTCGAGGGCCTGCTACCTCCCAAATGACACTTTTCCACTTTTTCAGAATATCCTCCTTTATTCTCTCAGTCCCGTTTTATGCTATTCGTCTCATATTCTATAACAGAATTCACCTACAACCCACTTATTCTGCCATCTATCCACACTTACTTGCTTGCCCATGCTGTCCCCTCCCACGTTTCCTAACATAGACCACAGCAGTGTGTTCACAGATTTATACAGCCTAGTTACAGAAAAGCCTGTAATTGTCGCATGATAGATCCCTTCGGAAAGTATTAATGGTCACCATCTCTGTTTGGAACTGAAGACATGTTATGTGGGAAATCAGGTGTGGTATTATTTATATCTTGTAGCTAAACTGAGTGGTGTTGAGCTGTTAAAGTCAACCGAACTAAAATTGAAGGCTCAAGCACTCTCCTCCATTCTTCTCTTTCGTTCCTAGCATCAGAACAATAATGGGTTAATTTCTCTTGGATTGAAGAAGAAATTTAGAATATCTACCTCCCAATCTACATGCATGGACTATTAGAAACTGGGTTATGGCCGATCTGCTCTTTTTCTTTCTTCTCCCCAATTCTATTTCGCTTCATTTCCTCCATTGCTCTCTCGCTCAACCTCTCGGCCAACCCACTCTTTCTTCTCTTCTCCTTTTTCTTTTCTTTCTCTCGGTTTTCTTCTCTCATCTTTCTTCTTCTTCATTTTGGGCCAAAATCAGCTCCTTTTCTTTCTTTTTTTATATTTTTAATCTTTCTAAATTTATGCTTCTGCCCCTAGATTACAGGTAATCCCGTTAAACCCCTACCACATCAGCTTTTCCTTCAAATAAACCTCCAGATTTTGCCCCTTGTTACTGCAAACCCAGAAGCTTCCTTTTCTTGCAATTTCATCCCCAATAAAACTTTTAAAAACTAACAGAAATCCGCTTCCATAAAAATAAAATCACACAGAATACGTAATATGTATTAGGATTAAAAACGGGGTTTCACAATAGATCCCTTCGAAAGTATTAATGGTCACCATTCTCTGTTTTGAACAGGAAGACATGTTAGTTTGGGAAATCAGGTGTTATTATTTTATATCTTGTAGCTAAAACTAAGTGGTCTTGAGTTGTTCAAGTATACAGTAAAATCTATTAGGGTGTTACATGAACTGAACCACTAAAACCGACAAGAGAGAGAATAAAAAGAATCTAAAATAGAGTCACATTACCTGGTTAACAGTCATGAGTTTGTTTCAGGTTTGCTTGTCAGTTTCCAATATCATTTTGCTGGGTGACAGTTTGCTCATCACGTAGCGGTAATACTTTTGGGAAGTGATCAGAGTTCCAGCACACGATCCCTTTATTTTTCATACTTTTGGGAAAAATGATCAGACCGCAAGCAAAAGATCTCAATCGGTAGCTCAAGAGTGAACTCTACTCCTTCATTTTTCTTGCTTATTTTTGGTGCCTGCAAAACCAATTAATGGAAACATGAAAGACGAATAATGACATTAAGCTTTTCAAGGTTTTACAGAAAACATGAATTAGCTATAAAGGGGAAAAAAAAAAAAAAAATTCCGTCCAACCCCGTTAGTATAAATAAAAAGAGCAAATTCTTGACTTATGATGGTTAACAATGTATAAACCAAATTCTGTTGAGCTAAGAAGACTCAACAAAGTACCTTTGCTTCCGTGCGCACAAAGTTATTTCGTTTATTGAAGGAAAAGGTTGTATTCATCTTGGGACATCTTTTAACGACCAATGTATTCAAAGATGGAAATATGAAGTGATATCCGACGGGGCAGAAGTTAGCAAGATTTGGTAATGCTAGAAATAACAACTCATCAAGTTGGGGTAGCTGGATTTCTTGGTCAGTCATGACATCAACTCTATCAGTATGTCCAAATACTTCTTCCAGTTGATTCGCCGATACCACAGTTACCACTTTCAATTGTTGAAGACCTCTGGCCATGGTGATAGGAAGGACACACTTTAATTTGTCGCACCATTTGACATCAATTTTTGAGAGATTTGGAAAGAGAGATTGGAGATGATCACCATCATCATCTTCAACCACGATTTGCTGCAATTCCATACAACCTTCAACTGACAGAGTTTCCAATTGCATCATATTTCGAGCAAAAGTAATTGAAAAGATATGTGTCAGCCTAGGACAGTAGCTTATATTTAAAGTGGTAAGATTTTGCAGGCTTAAAACATGCTTGGAACCGTTACATAAACCTTCTAATTCTTTTAGACCGCGCAACTCCAAGTTTTTCAAACTTGGGAATGATAACTGATGTGATTGTCCATCAACTGCAAGATCTCCTAGCTGAAATACCACTTTTACTCCGCAATTCCAAATACTCAAATATTCCAAATTATTGAAGCCGCAACTGAACAGAGAAATTCCACCACACAAGTTGTTGCAGTCGTCAATGCGTAAAACTCGTAACTTCTGAGAAAACAAATCACTACATCTTATCAAAATCTGTTGGATGTTAACATTCACCTGTGGCTGTTTTCAGTTTTATTAATAAATGAGATATTTAGATTGTATTCGAGTTGATATCTTGACCTTCAATTAGAGTTCTACTTAGGAGCTATACATTTATAGTCATATTCACCGATTTACAATGGTCGATATGTATACCAGAACGTGTCAAGTAAAACTAAACATATTAGAATAGACTTATAATTAGGTAACCAAAATGTATTTACCTTTAAATTATGCTTTCAGCAAGAGATTTGTGTCTAATAAAAAAATTTCGATGAATTAATATTTTAGTTGATTTTACAAAGCAAACTTATATAATTAAACCTTCTGTAATTAAATCTATTTAGATTTTAGTCAAACTAAAGCATTTTCTGAGATAATACTACCATTTGGTTTGAAATTGAATATTTATTCTAGACTTTGTGCATATATTTATTTAAGTGAAAAAGTAATTAATCATTCTAATATTGGTAAGCAAACAAGAAACATTTGCTTATTTATCATTCATTTGACTTATTTGACTAGTTAAAGTCATTGTTCTTTAATCAATAATTTATATATATTTTTTAATTTTATATTATTTATTTTATGTTTTAAATTTATAATATCTCTTAGAGAAAGAACTCCAACTCCAATGGTTTATGAAATTGGTTTGTCCACTTTCAACCCAAAACTCCAATTAATTTAGAAATATTTTTGTATAACAAATGCATTTTGAGAAATAACATTTATGATGTCCTGTGAGTAGATGCACATTTTTTTTTCAATTAAAATTTTCTATTGTGACGTTTTGCTTAAAAAGGTCCGTAATCAATAAGTGTTGTATCAAAAAAATAAATAAATAAATAAATACTAACTAGATAAAGAAAAATTCCTTACTACGCCCTTGATCCTAAGATAATTAGTTTCACAAATTTATCGAATTAAAATTACAAAATGTAAAGTAACCACAAAGGGATATAAAAAATCAAGTTTCATTCTTTAATTCTTGATACCATGGTGACACTTGAAAATTCTAGGCCTTCAGCTAAAGAGATATTCTCAATATCGGATCCAAATTCAATTATTAGGCCATTAATTAAGATTATAGGGATACGTATAAATATATAAAGTTATTCTCTAGTCAAGACATTGTTTATTATTATTATTATTGTTATTATTATGATTATTAATGCCAGTCACATAAAAGGCACAAAATTTGTTTTAGAAAATCTCCATCCATAAAAACAATGCATAACTTTTGAATCCTCATGGAAGCAAAAAGAGCCAATTTTTAAAATCTTTTTACTCATTGACAATTTATAAAATTTTCTTTTGATAAATAAAAATACTAGAAATTTTGAGTAAACTTCTTAGATTTTGATTAGTTAGTTAAATAAAAAGGTATTAGTGAATATTATTAACTAAATAATTTAATTAGATAAGATGAATCATTATCCATTTATGTCCCATTTCACGTCACAATATGTCTATTGAGTCAAGGATCTAAAGAAGTTTTAGTACCTTTTTATCAGCATGCACACGTTCACCTCTGGTTAAGGAAAATATTGAAACTGTCGCACCACAATCTTCAACTTCCAATTTTCGCAAAGAGGGAAATATGAAGTGACAGAAGAAGTTAGTGAGGCTTGGTAATGCTTTGAGTGTCAAGTAGTTTAGTTGAGGCAGCACAATTTCTTCATCTTCCATGATGGCAGCTACATCTTTATGTCCAAATACTTCTTCTAATTGGACGCTGTCTTCTACATATAATTCTTCCAGTTGTTGAAGACCTCGGGCTATGGTGGTTGGAAACAGACATTTTAATTTGCTACAACTTTTTATCCTAACTTTTAAAAGATTCTGAAAGGTTTCGGATTGGAGATTATTGTTCAAGAAGGCTTGGTCCTCTTCCTCCTCCACAGCAATGATTTGCTCCAATTCAGCACACTCGCTGACATGTAGATATTTAAGTTGCATCATATTTCGAGCAAGAGTAGCAGAGAAGATATATCTAAGCCTACTGCATGAATCCACTTCTAGATTGGTAAGGTTTCGAAGGCTCGTGAGACTGAGACCCATACATAAGCCTTCTAGCTTCTCTAAAAACTTCAATTGCAAATTCTTCAAACTTGGGAACGATAATTTGTGTTGTCGTCCCTCAGCAACAACACCTTCAAGCTGGAATACCACTTGTACAGCACAACCTATAAGTTTTAGGTCTTCCAAATTTTGTGAGAAATGAAACAACGTGCCTGGAATTACATCATCATTGCAATCTTGCAAATGCCGAAACTGTAAATTTTGAGAAACAAAAAATAATAACTTTTATTAAGATCTATTGTCATACTTTGATTTAAGGCATCGGATAAACTCGTAATTTCTGAAAAAAGAAAAACATACCTCTGGCGGATTCTGCATATTAGCTTCAACAATAATAGGCGTAGTCCAACTGGGGCAAAAATCAACTTCTAACAGTTGCAACATTGGACAAGTTGGATAATAATTTTCAGAACAGAAGCTGATGAGTTTTGGGAGATTTTGAAGTCGTAACTTTATTAGCTTAGGGAGCACGATATTTTTTCCATTTTCTATCTCCGCAATTTCGTCGCCCTGGTTATAATCTGAGACAACATGTTCCAGCCTATCACAATCACTTATTATGAGTTCTTCCAACTGCACCAGACGTCGCACAATTGACAATGCGAAGAGATTTTTCAAGTAACTGCAGCCATCCACTTTTACATGTGCAAGATTTTTGAAGCTTACAAGTCGGATGGGTCCCTTCCATATAAACCTCAATTCTGGTAATCCCCTCAGCTGTAATGATTCTAAACTTGAAAGCACTGCACTATTTTCTCCCTCAGTCTGGCATAAGCCTTCAAGTTTGAATACTTCAGATAGTTTATTGCAGAAAAAGATCTCAGCCGTTTTCAATTGACGGAGTCTCTGAAGCAACATTGGTGGATATACGTTACACATACTGTGGCATCCTGAAATTTTCACAGTTTCCAATTTTTCAAGAAACGTACTTGGAGGCTCTGCACCTTTGTATATCTCTTCTATATGGCTCATATTAGATAAAATCAATGTCTTCAGATTTGAGAATGCAGCGGCTGGTGCCTGCCGTTGCGACGTATCTATGATGCATTTCAACTCCTCACAAAATCCAGATTCAAGACAAATCAACTCACTGAAGCACGTTTGATCAACGCTTGGGAAACAATTTTGCAAACCTTTTATTTCAAATAAAGAAAGAGATTGTAGATTCTGAAACAATTCTTCAAATGCAATCAGTGAGGCCGCTTCGATACCACCTATATTTAAGCTCCCTTTATATCCAGCTGAATCAACAGCATAATAACCTTCTGAAACCTCTATCATGAACCTTTGCAGTTTTGGGAAAGCAAATCCGTTTGAAACGAAGGAATGATGAATACGTAGTGACAGTGAGACCAAGCATGAAAGTGAATTTAACTCACAGAGGGTGGCATAACTTTCCTCTACACTAGTAATCTCATCTGAGTCCCAAAGGAAAACTTCGTCAGTGTATAATTCTTCTAGTTGAGAAAATCTTCGTAACCCATCTCGTGGAATCCTCAGTTCATCAGACAGACGCACGTCCAGTACTCTCAATTCACTTAGTTGATCCCCCAATTCTTTGGGCCATTCTTCAGCCAAATAAGAACCTTCCAAATCCAGAACTTTAAGTGTTGTCAACTTTCCGAGAAAAGAGATGTCTTGCAATCGGCAGTGTTTCAGTTTTAGACTTTGAAGATTCGTCAATAATTCAAGTGATTTAAATGACACTGGATCCACATTCATTATAGTTACAACTTGAAGTGCCTTCATGTCTTTAAAAAATTCACCTGGATTTATTCCAAAATTCAGTAGTAAAATTTCAAGCCTAGGACAGACCAAGCCTTGAGGAAGCAAATTTATGTCACTACCATGGTCCATCAAGGAAATTGCTGTGCATTGTTCAAGCATTTTCTTCTTAGGCCTCTCTGTCAATCCCAAGCTAGCTTTATTCATGAATACATGTTTTCCCTTGGATGATATCCATATGGCAACATCACGAACCATGTCATGCATTTTTACGACCTCTTCACCAGCATCAATTAGCAAACCCGAAGCCTTCAGATTATTAACCATAACTTGAAATTGTTTCCTTAACACTTTGATAGAGTTAACATCTTGGTATAAGTCCAACCCTATTCCAATTCTAACCAATTCGTCTAAACAGATTTTATAATCTTCAGGAAACAATGAACACAACAAGAAACAAAACTGGATTTGCTCACCCTTCAAATAATCATAGCTCAACTTAAGAGTGGCATAAATACCTCTTTCTCCAGCAACAATGTTGTCCTCCCCTGTAACACTAATCATATCTTCAAGTTTTGAATGTCTTAGTTTGTCATGCAAAACTTTCCATTCGTCAGAATCCTTTTCTCTTAGAGCACTCCCAATGGCTACAAGTGCTAAAGGCAAGCCATCACATTCCTTAGCAATTTTAATTGCCAGAGGATTCAAATTGGAGGCATCACCTATGCCTGCATGCCTTTTGAGTGAAGCCACAGCTTCATCATCATTTAGAACATTTAGTAGAATTCGTGCCTGACACTCCATATCGATACAAACTTGCTGTCGACGAGTAGTTAGAAGAGTTTTGCAATTCTTGTTATCATCACCAAATGGAATTCCTAATATCGATTTTAACTCAAATTTTCCCCAAACATCGTCCAAGATTACAAGGATCTTCTTCTCTGTCTCTGTGAATCTCAAGCATAATCGCCGCGCTCTTCCTTCTACACCTTGCTTCTCGTCTGTCTCTGTGAATCTCAACCCTAGCGAACTTGCTAGTTGACCTTGAATATTTTTAAAGTTTGGAGTCTGAGATATGGTAACCATCACAACCTCATTAAAGATCTCCTTCACTCTATTACCTACTTCTTTTGCCAAGGTTGTCTTACCCGCCCCGCCCATCCCATACAATCCAACCATATCGATCTCATCATTTTTCAGTGCCCCAATAATATCATCAATAGCAGATTTTGAAGACCCGAAAGTCTGAAATTCACTAGGCTTTAAAAATTCGATGCCTGGTAGAGTGGTAGGATAACCCACTCCATTGAATTGGCAATTGTCTTTTAGCTTCAACATAATGGTTGTCTTCTTTGCTGCTTTCCTACCTAACCAATATCGCCAACCCCAATTAGGACACCATCCATTAAGGCAAGTCTTTTTCGCTCCTGTCTCTTCTTTCAATCCCTCAACATCAGCCAGGATCTTGTTGGCATCAGTTAGCCACTTTTCTACATCTCCCTTGATTTCATCAGTATTATTTTTGGCTATTTCAACATCTTTATTCACGTTTTGTCTTGCCAATTTCAAATTGATTTCTTGTTCTTTAAGTTCTTCAACAATTGTGTTGAAACAAAATAGATAACGGACTTGGTTTACTGTCGGCTTCACCAAGTATTCTCCAACCTTTGATGCAATAGCCACAACAACTTCCATCCTCGAACTCTGTTATCAAGAGATTAAGTACATCAGTATAAGATTATAAAAAAAAAAAAAAATCATTGACTGATAATTAAATATTAATTGGGATAGAACGTCTTGTTTATATCTTTATTTTTTTTTTTAAAGTGATAGTCATATATAAAAAATTTGTATATTTTGTGCTTTTAGATAGTACTGTATCATATATTGATGGCAACCAAAAGCATCAAATATATGCTTCGATACGATTTGAGGAATTTTAGAATCCTTAAAGGTAAGGGTCCAAAATCCAAATCACGACCATAGCAAAACCATTTTAGATACATCCTCAACTAAGAGTGAACCCTCTTATCGTAGTAAACAGAACGAGTACAAAATAATGATTAATTTATTGAATTCATGTAAGCATACTGAAGCTCAAATTATTATTATTGTTGTTATCAGTTTATGACACATTTAGGGGTGCTTTATTTATGTCAATAACCGAAATCTTTATTACTTAAACACTTTCATTAAACTATTTCGTTCTTCATTAAGCAAACGGAATTTAGAAAAAAAAAAAAAATAGGTCTGGCTCAGTTTTTTTGTTTTTCGTCTTTTATGTAATCTAAAGTTTGTTATGATTAAACCTCTTACTTAGAAAAATATTAAAACTAATGTTTTAAAACCCGACCCAACTCGGCCGATTCAACCAGAACCCCGAGGCTAAGCTGGGTCGATTCAGATCATAAGAGCGTTTTTATTAGATTTCAAATCTGTAGGAACAAATTTAGGGGTGGTTTACTATATTTCAAACTTATAAAGACTAATAGTATTTACCAAGAGTGTGTTTGTTAGATTTCAAACATAATGATTGATCGGTCAAACTGCCAGTCCAACAGGTTAGACAAGTCAACCCAGGATCTGAACGCCTGACCCGATCATTGACTGGTTTGGTTTTAAAAACATTGATTAAAATTGGGGCTTTTTTAGATCATTGGTGGGAGTGGCTAATAGTTAATATTTAAAAACCTATTAATTAAGGATAGAGACTCTGTTAGCTGTTAAGTTTCATTGTTTGTTTTTTCAACTTAGGTCTCAATTGGACTTAATTTAAGCCATTCAAAAATATTTTTTTTTTAATTTAATAATGATTTTTAAATTAAAATTAAATGAATTGAAAAAAAAAAATGTTCATAGCTTATCACTTAAATGAAAATAACTGAATAGTTTGTTTTAATATTACATCCCTATTCATTTTACATTTTTCTTCAATATTGTTATCACATTAACTTATTTGGTCAATTAAATATTTAAGAGTTAATATTATATAAATAACAAAACGAAGAAATACTATTATTTCATATATGTAAGTTTAACAAAAGTTAATTTCTCATACCTTCTTTCGTTGGGAGATATCTTTAACTAGCAAACCACAGGCCTATGAGCTATATTGCTTACACAGTCACACACTTTGAAAGAGAAGGATGAAACTGCACATGCAGGAAACATTGACAAAGAATATTAAAACATAAAAAGGCAGAACGACTTACATACAAAACGATAGATTGGTACCTAAAAGGTTTCAAAAAGATAAACAAGTACCTTTTGGTGGAAAAAAGACTAGAATGCCCTTTGAGAAATATTAGTCTATTTTTTTAATTACTTTTAGACCCCTTAAGTTTATTAATTCAATCAAATACCCTCAGAAAGAAGTTAAAAAATTAACAAAAACACCCCCACTCACCCATACTTGCCAGACCGGAATCTGTCACAACGGTCTACGCCACCACCGGAAATGGCCGGTAGCTCACCGATCTGGCCTTTTTCGGCCAGATCCACCAGGGATTTGGCCGAAAAATGCCAGATCTGACGTGAGAAGGCCAGATCTGGCCGGAAAGTGACTGGAGGTGTACCAACTACCAACTGTTGAATTAGAAAATTGTTCTTACTCTCTGTAACTTAAAGGCTAAAACACATCCAAAATTTAGCATCCAAGGCCTATATATATATATATATATGAATTTTCATTATAATTAAATATTATATTATCACGTTAGTTTGCTTTATATAAATTGCAACACTTGAATGAAAAAAAAAAAAAAATGGGGTAACCCTATCACAACTTTAATTTTTACTAAAACGTTTGTTAAATGTCAAAAATAAAAAAAAAAATAAAAAAAAATACATGAATAACAATGGCAAATAGCATCGCCAACAGGTGGCTTGGCCCGGGCCGTTGGCACCCCCTTTATTTCAAAATTTTTCTAATTTTTAATATTTAATTATTATTAGTTTAATAAATATTAATTTTAAAAATAAATATTTTTAAATTTGTAGAAAAAATGTGAAATATTATAAAATTGTCAAATTAAAATTTTACCCAAAATCCCAAATGTCCTTAACGATGATTTATCTTTTTTTTTTTTTTTTTTTTTTTTTTTTTTTGTTATTCTCTCTTTTTTTTTTTTTTTTTGAAAATATTGTTGGCAAATTGAAAATTCCCCTTAAAAATCCTACCCATTGTATTTTGCCATGAACTTGAAAAGAGTTACTGTATATTGAGGAAAACGAGATACATATAATTAGCAATAGGTGCTTTTGTGATCCAAAAATAATTTTTAAAAACTAAAATATGATATTTAAAAAACAATGTGATCAAAATTTTGTGTTTATATAACCTAATTGAAGAATTTTATTATTATTATAATTATTATTATTATGTTTGTTATTCATTATTATTATATCTAAAGCAAAAAATAATATATATATATTTACTTTTCTGTGAAGGAGATAGTCGCAATCACTAGTTGGAGCTTCACTAGATCATCGCCACTCGCAGAAATTGCTTAATGGGCTGGTCCAAAAGTTTTTGTGAAAGTGGTAAACTTTTCATTTTGTGATGTGTTCCCATCACTTGGACCATATGTTCATGTTGGTGACAGTGACTTGACCCACTTAAGAGACAAGGAAAATTAAAAAATTAAAAAAAAATGAGAGAAAAAGAAGGAAAAAGTTTTTTTGGGGATTTGTGTAGTGTTGGTCATGGTCCCAGGCATAGGGCAGAGGATGAGAGAGAAAGTAGAAGGAAAAACCAGGATAGAAAGAATAAGTTGAATTAAGTGAACGGCATTATCTTAAAAAAAAACCTCTCTGTAAATTACACCAGACTCTGTTTTTGAGGTCTGTAACCAATTTGCCATTCATAAAATAAGAATGCATCTAAAACTGCTTGAATATTATATGGTAAAATTTGCGGTTGTTGAAATGAATTTGGAGGAGTTGATTGTGGGGGTGTGATTGTAACAAATGAAAAGTGTAGAAATTAAGGGCGTGTAACTGTAAAATATGAATACTGAAGTAAACAAAAAGAATTACTATTATTTCATATATGTTAGTTTAACAAAAGTTAATTTCTCATACCTTCTTTCGTTGGGAGATATCTTTAACTAGCAAACCACAGGCCTCACCACACGGCTACACTATACAGCTAACCCCCCACAAAACTTCCCTATGAGCTATTATTTACACAATCGCACACTCTGAAAGACAAGGTTGAAATTGCATATGCAAGAAACATTAACAACGAATATTAAAACATAAAAAGATAAATAGGTAGATATTTGAGGATCTTCATGAATTAAAATAATAATAATAATAAGTATCTTGAAATTGTTTAGAAATTGGAGGGCAGGGCCGTCTCTAGAACATTTATGACCCTAGGCAGGAGTTACTTTGGGGCCCTCTAATAATATAAGCATATATTAAAAAAATTATTATTATAATTTTTTTTTTTTTTTTTTTTTGCCTTTTGAGATAAAAAACACTAGGAAAAGTGGACAGCAACGGTAGGTAACAAGGTTAGGTTAGTAGGGGGTTTGGAGAGTAGATATGGGAGAAGTGATGATGTGGTGAAATGAGTGATTTCCAATGCCAAGATTGATAAGAAAATGCTTGAGAAGTCACGGCCCAAAGGTATCGATGGCCGGCGATTGGCAGAGTAAACAGATAAGGTATGATAGGGGTTTTGGTGAGAGGGCTGAGGGGAGGAAGATGGTGGTGTCGGGGAAGGCAACAATGTCGAGTACATGCCAAAAAGGTTGAAAATGGCTGTCGTGTGGTGGAGCTGGGTTGCGGGATTCATAAAAAATTAGTCAAATCAAGGGTTATCAAGGTTGGGAAATGATAAAATGATGATTTCGGTCGATTTTGATGAGAAAATTGACCGGAACCAAAATTGACCGAAATCAACTCCAAAACATGGCGGCAGAAGAGGATTGGAGATGATTTATGGAATGTCAAATTTTGGATTGAATTAGGGGTGAGTAATTTGAGATATGTAATAACTATTTTAGTCTTCCATTGTTAAAAGAGATTCAATGTGTTAATTTAGGGGTATAAACTAGAATATATAAAACTAGAGGTACAAACTTGCTATTTTGTTAAACTTTGAGTGGGAATATATGTAAAAATTTATAATAAATTTGGGCTTTTTGGTTTTTTTTTTTTTTTTTTTGGGGCCCCTTGGCTTAGATAAGAAATTATAAACATTTCATTTTTGTAAGTTATTAAAAAAAAATTTTATAAAAAATCTGGCCCCCATATTTTGGGGCCTAGGCAGGTGCCTCACCTGCCTACCCCTTAAGCCGGGCCTGTTGGAGGGTACCATCTGTAACTTAAAAGACTAAAACACAACCAAAATTTAGAATCCAAAGCCTACATATATATAATATTAATAATATATATATATATATTATATATATATATATATATGAATTTTCATTATAATTAAATATTATATTATTACGTTAGTTTGCTATATATAGATTGCATGCAGGTGACCTGTTTGTTTTACTTTTTTTTTTTTTTTTTTTCAATCCTATTCATATCCTTCTCAAAATGCATATTTGTTACTTTATTCTCAAAGTTCAATTATATTATATTCAATTATTTTACACCCCTATAAATTTGTTAATTTAACTAAAAACCCCCAACAAAAAAGTTTATAAATTGATAAAAACACTTCCACCTATTCA